GAACCAGGCTGTACTGTCTGCACACGTAGCCATAGGTGAGAAGAAACTGCTTTGCTCAAATGCAAACACGTTCTCTAATGAAACTATGAGCTTTCTGCACATATTTTTATGAAGAAAGTCATTCAGAACATCTAGCTATTGTTAGCGATTTACTGCAGGTTAATTCAAATATGTGGATGCAACCCCAAAATTGATGCAAGTACATTAAGTCCCCCTTTTTTTTATTGCATAGTGCTGAACAGATGAGTTATTACTATGCAGTGGCAGATGTGTTTCTGCTGTCCTGATCTCACTGGGGAGCTCGTTCCACCATTGTGGAGCCAGGACAGCAAACACTTATGATTTTGTTGAGCGGTAGTGAGGTCAGTAGCAAGCCGATTGGCTAAGGTTTAAGGTTTGACCATGTTCTGGATGTAGGACGTGCTGCTAGTGTGCCTCTGGGCGTTTTTTTTTTTTTTGTGCAGAAACTTTGACTGCTGAAACGCTTTTTAAAGGCACGTTTACAGTATAAACACACAAGGTGACTAACATTTGTTATTTGCTATTTCCTTTATCTTATTCTATCCTCCACAGATGAGTCAGTGGATGCTCAGACTGTTCTAAGAGAAATGACACAGGCCTGTTTCTCCTCCTACAACTTCCACTCGGTTACGATTCAAATGGAGAGACAGGCCGACCTGAAGCCTGGATGTACCCTCTGTGAAGACCCAAAGATGTAGGAACCAGCCTACATTCTTTGTAGGAGCACAGCAGAATAAGGCCAGGATATGCTTTAGCTGCTGTAACCTCTGGTGGTAACAATATTTAGTTGTTCCGCAATGATCATTCGACCCTGGGGTCTTGTGTTTTAATGTAACATTAATGCCAAAGTCACATGACTGCCTTCGTGCTGACATGAGCATGTTCTTGAATGAAAAAACAACTTTCTCATGATTTAAATTGATTGAGTGTGTTGAGTAATTGCTATTTTATACTTCTATTCATTATCCTAAACACACATTTCAACTGTTTGTGACCTTATGTGAAGCATACACTGTTTGTTAGAGCATTAACACACTGTATCAACCTAAGACATAGGATACAGCGACCAGCATTTGCACACAGTCTGGTATGTAAATATAGATATATATATTAGATAAATATTTCTATGTATGGACTATTACATCAGCAACCTCAGACATACTGTATGTGGAGAGCATTAAGTGTATTTCAATACATGATCCAAATGTCTTTCTGCTGCCTTTGTACAATTGTAAGGTAGAAGCTGAAATTAATTATTCAATAAAATATTCCTTTTTAAAATACTTTCTTTTCAGTCTTGCTTTCAAAGACTGATTTACAGTGTCATAAATTCTTTCAAGATGAAGCGCTGTATCCGTTTAACCCCTTATTGCCTCTAGCAGCACCACTGTTGCTGGGCAACAAACTCTCAAATGGATCCATTGTCTTAAGGGGTATGTTGATCCCTGTTAACAGTCGCCCACCTCCTTTACAAACCAGTTTGTGTGTGATTTTAATATACCTGGGCAGCTGTTTTGGGGTACCAGGGGCCCTCTGACAGTTACTGACAGTGTTTACAGCTTGTTTGATCCTCTAATGGGTGTCCTGAGCTACAGTTGCAGGGTCAAGGGTATCTTTAATAATAACTGACACATAGCTGGCTGGTGTCCACTTATTTTCAGTCTTTTATATTGAAAATATCTACATTTACAGGACCGGTGTGTAGGATTTAGTGGCAACTAGCAGTGTAGTTCCCTCTTGCCTCCCCCTGGCTTTATTTTGGCTGCAAAACGTGAAATATGCTAAATGGGCTACGGTAGAAAAATGCAAACCCACAGCGTTTGTACATATAAAAGGCTCATTCTAAGGTAAAAACTATTCTTATATTCAAGTGATTGTACACTAATGAAAACACAGTACGCGTATTATATTCCATGTCCATCATTTTCTGTAAAGCACACTGGACATTTAATCTACATATTTTAATCTCACCATTAGTCTATTTTTCAAAAGTATTTAGTCAAAATTAGGTTTTCTTCTAATTAGCCAGTGTTTAACTTAATGCACCTTTGTTTCATCCAAGTAGCTTTAAAGTTGTTTAAAGCATCTTATTCCAAACTTAAATAAATGTTTTTTAAGGCTGCACCAGTCCATCAAATGAAAATTAAGATATCTTGTGCCCCATTTCATTTCAAATTCAACCTGGCATGTTGGGTAATTTTGGAAACTTTGGGACCCCCTCTAGAATTTAAAATAGTTCTGTAGGTTTGGCTGCACGCTGGTGGGTCGGTGCTACATACTGGAGCAGCTACTTGTAAAATGTACATATACTTTTCTGTGGTTGAGAAAGGGATTTATCAGCCAGGCAGCCAGTTTATGACCTTATTCCTCAGTCCCTAATCAATGAGGTGTTTGTGTCCTTTAATTAATTTTGCTCTTAAAATGTGTGCTTAACAGACTCTAAATAAGAAATAAAATAAGAAAGCTATATCAGTAACAAAGCTCACAAAAATTCTTCTCTAAATATATACATAAGTACTGTATATTGATGACATGGTTCTTCATTCAAATGGCATAAATCTGTACTGAGTAGAATACATTTTTGGTTCATACAAGTGAGTCTTTAGCACATAACCCACTCTACCTCCCAAACCACAGCAGTATAAGTAGGCTAAGTGCATGTAGATATTTTGGAATATGAGGTATTGTAATACCAAAGAGATTATTACTGAAGTATCAGATAATAATAGTGAATATTCTTTCAATCTTGCTCACGTGCACAGTATTGTGTACAGTTTACAGTACACATGCACACATACCCTTATGCTTGACCTCCCACCCATACACTTTATCACTGTTTCCCATACCCTCAGCTATATATACTAATCCCATTCTTGTGTCTTAAGACGTTCGGAGGTGAAGTTTGCTGTGAGCAGTTGAATGGACTTTTCATGCTGCTGCCTGCAGAGCAGACCATTGTACTCCCTTCTCTCTCTCCGTCTGAACTTAGCCCTGGAGGGACCAGATCAGTGTGTATTTAATTAAAGCATGAGTAATGCACTAGGTGGCTAGATAATCCGTTTTAGTCCCGATACCCCCTCAGCTAATAATTATTACACGGTTTGTGTTTCCTCACAAGGGGTGTTCAGTCTGTCTCTCTTTTTAGTTTTTGTTGCCTTTCGCACCCACTCCAACTCTTTTCTTCCTGTTTTTTCTCTCTACTTCATCCTTCTCTCTCACTCTCTCTCCGTCTGTCTCGCTCTTGCTGTCTCGCCCTCTCACGTCCAAGGTTCAAGCCCCTGCAGCATTGATGAGATGATGCAGTACTGCCGTCAGTTTCAAGGTAATATGTGTTGCCTGATGTTTTTTATGGAAGAGGCCTCAATTACATGCACATGAAGTACAGAATGCTGACACCGTAGCTAATGAGATACTGCACTGCCTATTTGTTCAATTATTTATTTGAACTTTCTTCTTGCTGCTCTCCAGTAAGGTGGCAACCACATAAAATTGGGGAAACTGAAAATGATAATGATAAGAAACTTTGAGACCGTGTGATGAATAATCTTTGAATTTAAATGTTTGAATTCACAAGAATGTTTTGTCTCGATGAGGTTCTATTACATAAAGAAGAGTCATTTCAAATCAAAGCATTTTCCATCAGATTGCCTTGATGTGATCAGTAAATTCTTTTGTTTCTCTCTTTACTTTGATCAATGATGATTAGATGATCTCTCAAGTCTGTAGCTCAGCCCTGTCCCCGTTAAACACACACAAAATGAGCATACACTCACACACCCACATTCCAACCTAATCCACGGATCTAATGCGTGAATGAACTTATTTTAAAAATTCTTTCTCATAATGTCAAATGTATAATTCAGCAAGAGAGCAGAGAAAGCATATTCATCTCACTACCTGCCTCCACCCACTCACTGTACTTTCCTGTCCCAATTAAACACCCCAAGAAGACAGGCTGGATGATTATAGAGAAACTAATTTCCAAATGGCTTGCCTCAGTTGGTCTGGCGGTATGGCAGATGGGGATTGTAAGAGTAACGCTCATTCATCCTGGCAAGCTAACCAGCACTCTGTCTGCAATTAAGAAGTTGTGGGCAGTCAAGTGAACTTGACACAGTATTTTTCATATCAGGGTTGCATGTTGCAGATAGGGTGTTTTTTTGAGAAAGAGAATAAGTGAAAAGAAATTACTTCAGGTTATTATTACACAAAATGTGTTCCAGATAATAGGAAATTGAAATCCAGCCTGTAACCCCAAATTTGAATGAATAATGTAAATTAAGTAATAGGCATCCTAATCTAGTCTTTCAGCCCCACTCAAGCCTGAAGGCAAAGCCTTTTTTTTTCAATAAAGCTCTTATTTTCAGTCTCTGTAAGTCAGAAGAGTAATTGTAATTCTGCTGCATGGCAGAGCACATGCTGAAGAAGCAGCTTTGTATAGCCTGTCAGTCTTTCTGACACCTTGTATTTCAAATTAATTTAAATTCTGATAGCTCACAAAATAATCCAAGCACAGCTGTACAGTATACGTAATGGGTGGATGGATTTGATTTAACAGAGTAGACAACACAGCCATTTATGGGATGAATTTAAATTATGCTTACTAAAAAAGTTATAATGACCCATGAGAAACAATCATGTGGCGTAAATTGGCCTGGGGGCTGATGAAGTCAGATGTGTGTGACATGGCTGTTATATAAGAGTGCTCCAGCATATGGCGCTGTTACCCTGAGTAGTCTGAACAAGTTTGCAGTGCGCCTTGCTTTACCGTAATGTCAGTAATCTCGAAACATTTGAAGGGAGGTTGTCAATTTAAAAAAGAAATATGGATTACATTTAACTAAAAGGGATATAACATTTCAGTTTATGTAGGCCACAACATCTTCTTTGAGTAAATATCCCATTAAATCACTAAAAAGTAACATTTTCAAGAGGCGCTTCTACTCCATCATTTACCGCCAAGTGTCAAGACGAACTCTCGCGATAGTAGCGGCAGCTGAGATCCTAGGAGCAGAGCAGGAAAACTTGACATGTCAACAAAACAGATAAATTATCACCACACAGGTAACATTACACGTTGTCTAGAATGCTATTAAATAAAAATGAACACTGACTGCGATGTTAAGTGTCACGTAGTGCCGGAATAATGAAAACAGCACAAAAAAATGAAGCGATAAAAAGCTGAAGTGTCGTGTGGTGTGCCTGTCCACTTTAGCTTTTGGTGACAGCCAGTCCACATGTTAGCTTAATTAACCCGTTATCCTACTGAATGCATGTGTGGGTGTGCTGTTTAAAGTCGAGGATAGCGTCTGATAGACTTGTACTGAAATAAAGGCACGTTTAACTACCCGATATACAACTTATATTAAAGGCTATAGCGTTAGCTCAGACACTTAATCAGAGTTGGAGCTTTTTCTAGCTACACAGCGTTTCGTTTTAGTTCATTTGTGACAGCTGTGAAGCTTTTAAAGAGCTGCACTGCGTTTCCTGAGTGAACAAATGGTGTTGTACTTTATTAACCATACTACTGTGGCTGACTGATTATACAAGCTAAATATTATGCCAGTAATATATTATGTGACCATTGTTTCCTTCTTCTCATCTTAGAATAAATGCAGTGACTTCCATTAACTGTCAGCTTATACTTTCTTTCCCCATCGTCTTAATATTTCTCCTTTTCTTCTCTGGAAAACACTTGTCATGAAGGCATGTAAGGTGTGTGCTGCTGTGGAATACGCCTTGAACGGGGTCACCTCACCTGGACCTACACCTACATCTCCTCCACCAGCATCTTCACCTTCTGTTTCCATGACAACCCCTCCGCTAGTGTCGCCTTTTGGTGGGCAACCTCCGCCGCCGCAGCAACAGCAGCAGGCCCAGGCAGCACGGGATGTGAACACGGCCTCGCTGTGCCGCATTGGCCAGGAGACGGTCCAAGACATTGTCCTCAGAACCATGGAGATCTTCCAGCTCCTTAGGAACATGCAGGTCTGCGTCACTCAGTATCTCTGCCCACATGCCTGTCCCCCTTCAGTTGTCTTTTTTTGTCCCTCCTACTGTCTTTTATATGTTTTTGCATAGTTCTCTTAGCCTTAATGTCCTTAGAAGACACTTAAAACTATAAGAATGATGGGTAGAAACTGCAATATGGAGACACAACATCACTGAACAGGTCTATACCAAAGATAAAACCACATAATATAAACATAAAATGCCAAAAGATAAACACAAAATAAAAAAAATAGTAATAATAGGTCTGATGATAACATGACAGAGCACTATTATGCAAATAACAAAAGAGCTGTCATTCAGGAAGGCAGTTCTTTTAAAAAGGTGTTTTGATGCAAGATTTAAAAGCAGACAGTTGCAAGCTGACTGAATACTAAATGTAATGCTCTTCCAAAGCTGAGACATCAGTACAACCAGCCAAAAGCATGATCAACCCTTGATTTTCAACTTTTACTCAGCAGCAGCTCAAAGGTTTACACCAGTACATCAAAGAGGCATTTGAGGACAGTAGAAAGTTTAAGGCTCATGTAATCTGGTGACCACGTAAGGCCTTTATATGGATTCTAAAATAACTTTTTAGGACCATTTAAGGACCAGTGTGTAGGCTTTAGTGGGATATAGCAGTTTAGTAGCATTGCATTTGAATACAGCTGAGCCTTCCAAGCGTGCAGGAGGAACTACGGTGGCTGCAAAAGTGTGAAAGGTTTGTCTGTTCTGAGATACTGTAGAAACATGGCAGCCTCCGTAGAAGAGGACCTGCTCCTTCTGTAGATAAAAATAGCTCATTTTAAGGTAATGAGAACACAGTAATTCATATTTTTAGGTGAATATACACAACCTATAAATATTATATTCCATTTTTGCCAATAGATCCTCTTGAATGTTACATACTGGAACTTTTATGGCAAGTAATGAAGGGATGTTTGAATGAATTGAGTATTTTACTATTTTACTCAAAGTTAAGGTGACTGTCACAAACTGTACCAAAGATCTTACAAAAACACTTACATGTTTTAAGAATAATGGGTCAAAGCACTGGTTGCATATGTGAAGAGAGCCTGATGATTAGGGCCTGTTGAAGAGCAACATCCAGTCTCTCACATGGGCCAAGCAGTTGTTTAATTTGGCCAGATTGTTGAATTCAAAGTTGTTTTTTTTTGCAGAATTGTGTGTTGTCTGCCTTTCCAGTGGTTTTTTTAAATATTTTTTTTAAATGAGGATGAATAATGCATATTTCCAAACAGTGATGTTGTATGACGAGTGTTGTCAAAATGTTTATGATAAGAAATCCAACTAAGTAAGGATTTTGCTCTCTTGGGTGTTCAGTTGAAGGACCGCTACTTTCTCTCTTTGTCGTTGAATGTAGAAGGAGCTATTGCAGACTAACTTTTGGTTCTGCATTTGTTTGTGAGACAAATCTATTTGTTTGGAGACTGCATCACACGCTTGTAAGTGATACTGATACCTCAAACATGTCTCTAATTGTTACACAGTACATTAGTGCAATCAAGTAATGGCGGAAAGTTAATCTAGGTGATTCCTTGAGCGTTTTTTGGGGGGATTACAGGAGTTTTCACACCAGTTTGCTCTGCAGTTCACATGTAGTTCAGCCCTGACGGTGTCCTGAAGACGAGGTCAGCATGAGTTTATCATGGAAGTCTGCCTGCTCCTCTGAGACGCTCCTCCTGCACCTTGTTAAAATGACAGCCAGAGACGGGCCAAACAAGCTTGCCTGAGCCACAGAATGCACAAACAGCATTGTTGTGACTTGTTTTTTAGATCCCAGGCTGTCTTTATACTCATAAAAATTCTTCATTTATCTTCTCTTCCCTCCCTCTCTGTCTGTATGTCTGTCTCCCCACTGTGTCTCTGATTCACTGTGTCTCTCCCTTCTCTTTGCTTGCCCCGAAGGCAGGCTTGTTTCATGTTATGTAGGATGTTTATAATCAGACAGTGCTGCCCCGGAGGCTTGTCGATCCTCTGAATAAAAAAAACCCATGTCTTGTTACTCTTTAACACCCATTGTAGTTGAAAGCCAGTAATGCTGCCTCAGTGTGAGAGTGAAAACATTCAGAGTGCTGCAGCTGAAGCAGTTAACCTTTGATGCAGCTGAGTTTGTGTTTGGTAGTTTAAACTGTGATTTTATTATATTATCAAGACCAGATGCTATATTGTTGCCTCAACACAAAAATGTTGGACACATTTTTAAGTTTCCTCTGTAGCCCATTTGCTAGAAAGGAACCCATCACTTTGTTATCGGGAATGAAGTTGCATCTATTGTGCATTAGTAGAAGGCTTCTAATGACCTATTACCAGTTAGGGAACAACAGAGGGGTTTGTAGTGCTTTTGGCAGTCGTTGGGAATCAATGACTGTTGCTTTTTATTAGCTCTAGCTAATAACAAGTTTAGGTTTGTACTTTGCTTAACACCAAACGTTTCCTCTTTGGTGCTTCTCAGCTGCCTAATGGAGTGACTTACCACCCCAACACCCACCAGGACAGGCTGGGGAAACTCCAGGAGCACCTACGGATGCTTTCTGTGCTGTTCCGCAAGCTGCGCCTCGTCTACGACAAATGCAATGAAAACTGCGCTGGGATGGACCCCATACCTCCAGAGGTGAGACACGGGGACACAGACAAGATTTGACAACATTTTCTCATATTAATGTAATTGGAAGGCAAGTGTATGTGTTTGCAGTGTGTTATCAGTTGTTTGGGCCAGTGTGAATACAGGTAATCATTTGTGAGTGCTGTTGCTGTAGCACACACTGGACATGTCAAACTGACAGAAGTAGTTTACTTTGGTTTGCTCTGCATCAGCTGGCACCCAGAGGAGAAAGCACTGCTGTGCATTGGGTATTTTCAGCTTTTTAGACAGAAGTAGTAGTCAGGGTACAGTAGCTGGATTGTGCTGATCTGGGTAACAAATGTCATCATAAAATTGTGAAGTTGATGTTGGAAAATAGTAGGGCTGCTACCAAAAAGGCCGCCACCCATGACGCCATCAGGACAGGATGTAAACTTTACAAAATGAGTCTCAAAATGCACATAAAACTAACTGTGATGGAAGCAGAGAAGAGGGATAGTTAATGGAAGACAACGTGACGCCGGACAGCTGAGCAGCAGCTGCTCCGATGCTCTCTGCTCTGGTATTGACTGTCAGTAAAATCGGCTAAACCACTTTTGAACCAGACAGTGGTTCGCCTTCCTCTACTGCCGTCCACTTTGACTCTTTGGCTGACAGCGCTGCAGCAGCCCATCAGCAGAGATACTCTGTGGTGCATGGTTCATTTTAGAACTGAACTATTAGCAGGCTGCACTATTTTACTTTCTCCGGATGTGTGTAAATATGATGTTTTTTACATCCCAGATGACGAAGAAAGGCATTAAAACTTGAGACTCGTAGTAGCTGCGTTTCCACTGCTGGTGATACAGAAGTTTAGTGTGGTATGGAACATAAATAAAAGGAACAAATAGTTGAATCTTTGTATTGATCAGCAAATCCAATTCAACTGACACAATTCTGAGTTGGGTACAGCCCTAAAAAAATAGGAGAGTCATAAATATGACAACACATAACAACAGGTGCAAGTGTTTTGATGTGTGTAAGACTCTGCATGTGTGTGTTTCCCTTTAGCCCTTTATCAGGTACAGTTTATTTAGTCTAACAGCTCTGGCACTTTAAGTTATATAAACCGTACCCAGGGAGAGTTTACCAGTCTGAGGATGCTAGCAGCACCTCCAGCAGTCATACAAATTTAAATCGATGAGCTTTCCAGTCTGATCACAAAACCTGAGCAAGGAGACCCCTTCCTAAAAAGTGACATGTTGACCCTGATTAGGACACTTAACCTATGGAGGTCCCCTGTGGCCACCAGTAGAGTGTAGCATAGTAAAGGGTGTTATGGTGTGAATATGAAGTCATATGATGTTGAAGGAGAAAATACTTAACTGGAAAGATATTTTCTCTAAGTTACTCAGTAATCTGTGCTCATAAGAGAGCTTTTTAGAATGTAATAGAAAAGTCCCTTTAAATGAAATGAAATGTACAAATGCAATAAAATAAAACAATCACATTGCTTATATTAGATAGTGATTAATCCCTTATTATTATCTTTATTTTGCCTTACATTTTATTACATCATTGCCTAGTGTTTCAAATATTTTACCCCTCACATGGAGTAATAAAGGGCTTGTAATGTTACTGTATTTTATTCATTTAATCTTTATGTAAACAGCATAGGTTGGCTGAGCGTACATGCCCTTTTACAACGATGTCCTTTTAACAGTTCAGAGAATAATATAAACAAAACAACAAGAACAGATAGAGTCAGTAAATAAAAGGTAATCCTGACAGTAAACAAGATACAGGCTTAGCAAACCATAAGCATGCAGAGGACATTGTTATACAGCAATAATTACATTAACAATATTCATTTGTGACCAATTTAAAAGGACATGTTCGCAGGTTTTCTGACAGTTCTCATTTTATCTATTGATAGTTACACTCTCAGTGGCTACTGAGATGTTATCCAAATCAAGTTTTGCTTTTAATACATACACAGTACCGCAACCTCTGCAATAGAGCTTACATGGTGTGGTTGTAACTACCGTGGTGGAACTACATTTTTAATTTGACATTATTTGATTGATCCCTCCAGATGCAAACACATGCTGCATTTGTGTGCCGTGATTTTTCTTTTGTGCGTTTTCAGCCTTTGCCTCATATAGCCCAGCTTTTTACACAAACTGCCTGCTAAATTAGGAAGCTGTTAGTTTCAAGGAAGTAGGCCATTGTTACTGCCACACCCCCTCGCTCATACACACTCACACACACTCACATAGCCGCACACACAAACACACATCCTTACCCCAGGGGACTCTTATCTCACTTACTCCCTCTAGGTCTGTCTTTTCTCCGCTCGCAGCAGATTCATTGGTCGCTTCAGGTGAGTCTCCAGAGTCTCTTTACTGCTGGTTACGTTCACCATCCACCTTCAGGAACAACAGCACTTCAGCTCAGCCGCACACCAACCCTCCCTGCCTGCCTGCACAGACGCACACAGAAATACACATGCATGTGCACAGTTGTGTCCCACACACTGAATATATACAACATAGACATGCATGTGGTGCACTGTGGCATGTCACAATGGTGTTTTTTCAACACACACGTGCACTTTGTCATGCACACACACACACACACACACACACACACACACACACACACACACACACACACACACACACACACACATATTCACACACATAAAGGCTCACTGGGCGTGCACTGTTCGAGGCTCCATGCAGGGCTACAGCTAGGCTATCCACCACTGTTTGATTGGATTTATGACTGCGGCAGTCCCTTCCCAATTTCTACAGATTGGCCTGGAGCTAATCTCTCTCACCAGACTCCTACTGAGGATAAAGGAGGATGTGGGAGGAGACCAGTCTTAAATTGGAACAAATTTGTGATGGCTGCCACCGCATTGAATAATACACTTGCTCAGAAGCATTTCGAATAATCTATCCAATGGTCGTTCAAAATGACTCCGGTCTGCAGTTCCACCCCTAAATCAAAACTTATGAGGGGTTCACTCTGACATTTTCCTTTGCTGTAATGGTGTAAACCCTCATTGAGTCATTACGCCAGCTAGCTATTTCTCTCCCTCTTATTTCCACCTTATTTAAATGTTTATTCATTTCCCCTTGAGGCTGAGACCCGGTCCAGTGCTGACCAGCCAATAGCTCAGCTCACCATGTTTGTCTGGGGGCTGAGGGTTGTTGATTTTGGCCCCAGCAGGCATGCCATTTATCATCTCGGAGAATTCAGGTGCCTGCCTGACAGCCACTCACTATTGGCTGCTCGAAACAGGAAGTGGAATCAATGACTCGGGCAGTGTGACCTCATCGCAGCCTAATTAGCAACAGAGCCGTTTAATGAACAGCTGGACCAAATGCACACGTCAGCGCTTTGTGCTTTTTCTTTCCAGCTGTCATTCGTTGCTGCCCAGTTGCAGCTTTTTCCTTCCTCTTTTCCCTCAAACTCTCACACTTTCTCCTTCTTTCTGTATTTCTTTTCTCTCCCTTCTATACCTCTTTTTCCACCTTTCGTCCTTTTTTCTCTCCCTCATAGCTGCTTAGTATTGGCTCCCTCTCCCATTTCTTTCTTTCTTTCTCTCTCTCTTTCTTTAAATCTGTGTTCATGTTGGCTTTGTTTCACTCTTTCTCTCCAGTTTTCTCTTCTGCTTTTCCTCTGTTCCTGCTTCTCCTTTGTGCCAGCATTCGTCCCTTCTGTCATTTCCTGCACCGAACAGCTATTTCATTTCCCTCTCGCTTTACATGTCCACCCTGTTATTTTCTTATTATTTTGTTATTTTTTCGGCTTGTCTTTTCTACCTCTTTCTTTTTGTCTCAGCGAGGCAACCTGGTGAACTTCATTAGCCCATTCTTCTCTGTCAGGCAGGAAACCACATCCATCTTTCTGTGCAAGAGGCAGGGGTTATGACTCACACAGGCACACTCACACACACAAGCTGCGTGACTACACGTGCACCCACTCACACACACACATAATACACTCTCCATCCATCTTTCCCACCCTACTCAGCACATTTCATTTTCCCCCCAGAAGCTGCCAAAATCTGCCCACTACCTTTAAATTCGATATGTCATTGGCTTCGGTCTGAAATTATCTAATGAAAAAACTTTCCCCTTTTCCTACTTAAAGTTTTCTTGAGCCAGATACAAGCTCATAGTTTGTCTGATATAATATCCTGCACATGTCCTTGCTGTTTTTTCTCCTTCCAACCGTCGGGAGTTTACAGTTTGGCGCGGACCTCGGCCTGGAAACTGACAGGAGCACAGAAAGTTATCCAGATTTTTTCATCTTTCTGTCATTCTTTTTTTCCCCTCTTAGCCTCTTTGTCTCTTTGTCTCTCTCTCCTCTTTTTTCTGATTTTGTTTTCTCTTCTCTTTCTTTCCTCCTCTTTTCCCACCCGTCACCCTGCCCTCTTCAACCTCGCTTTTTTTCTCTCTATCTGACATTTTGCCCATTGTCTTGCAGTCTTCTCCTCTTTCCTCATCTGTTTGTCTACATTTCTCTCTGTCTGCTGTCTTTTTTTTTGTGTTCCTTTTATGTTAGTCTTGATGTTGGCCAGCTCCAGCTGTACTGAAACACCAGTCAGTCATTGCTTCCAGACGAAGCAGCTTACTCCTATCATAGTCTAGTGTCCGCAGGGCCTGCAGCTGCACAACCTCAGGTCAAGCGCTGTAGTCAAGCAGAATAACGTAAAGAACTTTGCATGATTTAGATTAGCATCGTGCCAAGTCGTTATTGGACCAAGGTGTGTTTTCCCACCGTATGGCAGTTTTTATTGGCTCCTAGCTGTTTGGAGAGTCTCCTACCTAATCTGTGTTTGCGATCTTGTCTGGTATGACAGTTTTTGTTTTTGGAAGGAATGTTTATTTTTTTTCTTGCATGAGGAACTCCTTGCTTTAAGTGTAATGAACTATTGCAGATTATCCTTGCTACTTCAGTTGAAACCCATTAAAAGCGGTATCATGTGTTTGAAAATTGTGCACCAAAATTGGTATGTTGGAGAGTGCTAAACTGTGGTCAACAAAAATGGATACCGCCTAACTCCTACTATGTATTTCTTGGGACTTCTGTACAATAGCACATACATGTGACTACATTTATACTGTGTGTGCATTACAGTCTCTTGGAGTCCATTTCCCTTCAGTAGCTCATCAAGCATAGCAATAACACATTCTCAGTGTAAGACCCTTTATGTAATTGCTATGCGTTATACAAGGAACAGTGTGTTTTCAAGACATTCACACATTACTAGATGTGTGACTGCAGCAAGCCTCCTGCTGTCCTCCTCCCTAAGGTGACCACTAGGGGGCAGTGTGATGTAAAGCAGCAGGCAGTGACCCTGTCGGCTCTCAGGAATGCCGCCTCGCCTGAAGGCTCTTGCACATCAGCCTCACTGTAGTGTCAAGCAGACAAGGTCAAGCACACAGAGCATTGAAAAATGAATTAATCTCCCACTCGCTTTCTGTCACTCGTTCTCTCTCCCTGTTTCTCTGTACGGTGAGGAGAGACAGGTGAGACTTACTGTGTTCTGTGTGAGCCTACACAGAATCCCCATTTTCATCACTTCATGGGAACAAGATTATGAGACAGCACAGGCATATCTTGAGTATTTGGAAACACCCATAGGTTGAGATTGCCTATACGTACATAAATCTGACATATAACTGCACTCACCAGGTATATAGGGAAAAAAACGAATATGTAGCCCAGTGCTTTTAATGTATTTGAACTATGGGCAGAGTAAGAGGGGAGGAAAACAAGAGAAAAGTGCATTAGGGACTGAGTTTTATTCCAGAAAGACTGAAAAAAAAAAACCTGAAACTGTTAACGATACTTTCACAGTGTTGATTGTGTATGTACAGTACCACTGTAAATGATCAACTTAAGCAGTCCAAATCAGTTGAATAAGTCAGCATTTTGGAAGTGATCATCTTACAGTTGTCTTGCTTACAGTAAATAATATAGCCAGATTTTTTTGTTCCCTACAGCAACTGATACCCTTTGTGGAGGATGACAGCTCAAAACACGAGGATCGTTCGGCCGCCCAGAGCCGCCCTGCCACCGAGGAGAGGAGAGAAATCCTGGAGGTCAACAAGGTATTGTGTTCTGTATCTCAATAGCACAACACTGTTAGGGTTACAGGTTTGATTCCCAGCCAGTGGTAATAGTATGAGAAGGTGGGAGGGTAATAAAAGAAAACTGAAAAAAGTTTTACAAACTGATATCAGGAAATTTTATCAGGGCTTAACATGATGTTATTTCAGATCAGTAAAGTTTCAGTTCACCTCTGAGATCCATGAGCCTCCAGACATTTCAAATCACATTTACCTGAGCTGGAGGGAAAACAGCATCAACTAAAAGATAGGAAATAATAATTAGGCATGAATTTCATTACAGATTAGTAATTTTACTAACCGTCATTAACCTGAGGGTTTAATAGCCGACTTTCCATTATTTGGATAGCAACCGTTCAGGTTGTAAAGACGAGGTTTGTTAAGAGGCTACACTTGATAAACTTTATTGTCTGCGGATTGAGTTTGTGTGTTTAAAGGGGGCAATATGCTGGTGGGAAATGCTATTAACAAGTATTGCATTTCCAAATTTGGAGGCTACATTCATGTAGTTTGTCATTCCAAGCTCTGTGTAAATCTTTTGTAATTTCCTCTCTAGGACTGTAAAAGTATTTGGGTGTTCGTGCATGTAGATTCTGTGCAGGCGTGGGAGGGAATAACTTGATGACAGTCTTTGGTTGTTAACGAAGGACATCTACTGAAGTAGTCAGAAAGCTCCAAGGTGGGATGGCACACGGTGTGGATGAGTTTTGCCCTTGGATGCTGCAGGCTCTGGATATTGTTAGGTTATCTTATTTGAAAATACCCCTTCAACATCACATGGAGGGGGGACAGTACCTATGGACTGGCTCGCAAGGGTGGTTCCCAGTTTTAAAAGGGACTGGAAGGTGTGCTCCTGTTATCAGTGTATCACCCTGGTCAGCCTTCTTAAACGTGGGTCGGCTGGAAAGGAGGCTCCTGTCGATTGTTGAAACAAAGATTCACACCTGGTAATGGAACAGTGACCACAGGGTTTCTTAAGGTAAAAAAACAGGAGGATATAGGAACAGGGAGTTCCATGTATTTAATGAATGAGGTATAACTGAACTGTCATTAACAGTAACTACCTCTGCTCACCTCATTTCCTGGGGATAGTGGAGGAGACTTCGGAGTTTGAGAGAAGGCTCAAGGCGTTGTCCCTCAAGGTGTCTTGTGACAGGTAGTGCTAAGGCTGTGGCTTCAAGCTACCCGATAAGACCACTTGTGTAGGTAAAAGTTCTATCCGTAGTCTTGATGATGAGTCAAACTTGCTCACTTTACTTATCAGTGATTATTCTTTCCATGAAGCTGAGGGTTGGAGAATGACTGGTTCGGATTGCATCTCTGCTTTTTGTCGATGATGTAGTTCTGTTGGCTTCATTGGACCACGATCTCCAGCACAGGGAATGAGACTCACAACCTCAATATCTGAGCCTATGGTACTTAACCATAAAACTGTGGACTGCCCTCTGTTAGGTTGGGCCTGAGTTGCTGCTCCGAGTGAGCGATTTCAAGTATCTCGGTATCTTGTTCGCAAGTGAGGGTAAGATAAAGGTGAAGCCCTCGCTTTACTAGTTCATACCATGTTCCGGCCTTCTTGTATGGTTGTGAGCTCTGTGAAGTTAAGTCATGGCTTAGACGATTGTGACATATCTGCTTTACCCCACTGACCACAGATCATAAAATGGTAAGAATGAATGGCTTTGTGTTGATAATATGCATAAAAGTGAGCTAGTTACCCCTTATAGTATATAAATGTGATGCAAATATCAAAGAGAATGAACTGACCACTGGCGGCAGGGTCTGACTTGAGCGAGATAGTAGCTGATGATGTTTTCAATATTAACAGAAGAACAGAACAGATGATTTTTCTTCGTATCTTGTGAGTGATGTTTTCACTTTTGGAGTGGTTTCAAGTGTCAGACATCAAACACACCTAAGAGCTTTTTCAAATATATTCACTGTCAGATATGTTTTGCAGCTCTGATAGAGAGGCTGTTTTATGACACTCTGAAGTGCAGAGCAGGGAACTTTTCTTCAGACTGACACGCCATGTTGTCAGTCAAAGTCTGAAAGATTTAATCCTGAGTCATGGCTTAGTTACATGCTACAGACGAGGGTCCAAGGCTAGAGGGTGTCGTGTGCTGTAGACTGTGAAGCCCCTTGAGGCAAATTTGTGATATGGGAATTTGGGCTGTATAAGTAAACTTGACTCGACGGACAAACAAGGTAAATTTGAGCATAGAGATGCATCAATGAATTTAAACATAATCCAATAATATTAACTAAATAAACTAAATTGTGGTTGAGGCTGTGAAAGAAACTAATCCTCACACTGCAACAACTACTTACTAAGAGTTCTCCAATCAGGGTTTTTGGGTCTGAACGCTGGAAGCAGTGTCGACTGATAATGATCACATAGATCTACTAGCAGGCTGTTAATATACGGTTGGCCCGCAAGTAAGTCTATGATCAATCTATTAATCTATTTAGTGGCTGATCAATTGGAGCACACTTAGAAATAACTAATATTTTAGTGTAATATTTAAATTTAAGTCCAAAGTCTTAATTAATGTGATATTAAAAGTTTAGAAAATGCTAAAAAATATTATATTATGTAAAATATTTTTGTTTTGTAGATTGTTGATGTCAAACCTTGAGGACAAATACGTTGCACTTCTTGTGACTGCTTCAAAATAAAAGCCATCACTTTAGAGGTGCTGGTTGGTGAATTGTGACCTAAGGACAGAGCCAGGCTAGCTGTTACCCCCTGTTTCCAGTATTTATTCTTATACAAATTCCTATTAATGTGACCCAGCAGCAGTAGGAAATAACCGAACATAGCAGCAACACCGCTGTTATAAATTAGCTACAATTACAAACAGTAATGTTGGATAACATGCATGCATAATTTCTTGTGAATCACTTGTGCGTAGGTAGGCAAGATTATTCCAGTGTGGTAAGGGCAGACCCTGCTACTAACAATGAAAACTACAGTATTGAGTGGTAATTACTGAATGTAAATACATTGAGTGGCTTTTGCAGATAATTGTCAACCATAACTATGATCAAAATGCAATGTTTTAGTAGTATTATAAGTAAAAATCTTACAGTTATAGTGGAAGACATGATAAATGAAGCAAAATGCAAAAATAACTGTCTTAAGATGTCTTTTTTTGTCACAGTGCTGCATAGCATTGCTGAACTGACCACTGGGACATGACATAGGTTCCCATAACACTGACAAACCGTGCCCTTTGATGTTCTGGCATTTGCCATCATAGATTATTTTTGAGTCCAGGATTAGGTTAAATCTCTCCCTGGAAAACAGGCACATCAAGATGACATTAAAGCGCTGTGTGCAAATATCAGCCTTGGGTCGATGAAACCTAGATCCTGCCTAGATGCAGGTAAACAGCCAGCAGTAGTACCTCCCAGCAGTTCCCATATCTCACCCGAGTTCAGTAGTTATGGACAGTGGAGCATGGCAAAGGTTCAGGTAAAACACATCATGCATTATTTAAGAGTCCTTTTTAGTTTGCCTCGTCTTTCATGGATTTGTTTTGTTATATATGAGTGTGTGTGTATATTGAGTGAGAGAGAGGGGGAAAAAAAGCTGTTCTTTCTTTAAAGAGACAAGATTGTGTTTGCATCTCGCACTTTCACACATGCTTTCAGTGTGTGCTGCGTCCTGTTTCTTCTCTTTGTATGTGCATTGCGCAGGCTCGGTACAGATTGTGCATGCCAAGCCGTCTGAGTGTGCTGCAATGATAATGGTCCAAGGTCAGGAGAGTCAGCAGTAGAGATGAGAATTGGTTATTTTTAAGAGCTCAGCACAGCTCCCCTGGCTGCTTTTAAATGTTAACACTACAGTGAAACATTGCAGTGAACCCTGCGCTCAACTGCACTCAGCCACGTCCAAAACAAACAGCATCTCCTTTTCACACAAAGCCTCCATAGCTGCAAAGAGTATGGTGAAAGCCTGCTGATATTGTAGTAGATAAATAACCAAGCGCTTAGACCAAATCTTTGAACGCAATACCGGCCTGAAATACAGACATTCTTTTTCAGCATTCCTGCAAAAAAAATAACAAAACTAAAAACCTTTTCTCTTTTCTTTCTGGACTTGTAAGTGAGAGTAATTTTGTCCTATTAGAGACCCGTGTATGGATGTGATAAATAACCTTGTTTATGATATGACCTTCCCCCTATGCAAAGCATTAGCATGCAAATTGAGTTCCGTCAAATGATCCAAGTATATAGAGATTGAGTAAACAGGCCACCGTAATATATTTAGGGTAAGCTTTCCTTACTGTCTGCAATCCTTAACACATAGCAACCTATCCTGGCTCCTTATTATATATAAATATATATATATATATATATAAACTACCTTGTTATACTGTACAGTGTATGAAGTAGAAAGACATATTTCATTTATTTTGGTGTAAAATATACTGCACCATACACCTAATGCACAAAAAAATAAAGCTCTTTAACCACATTCTTCTTCCCTGCATTTTTTTGGCGCATTGCTGCATTTCTTGCCAGCACCCATGGAGCAGTTGAATAATGTCAAACTGTTGGCCTAGATTTTGCTTCATGTCACCTGCATGCAGAGAAACCATAACGCTGTTAGCGGTCAGAGACCTTTAAGCTTAAAATTTCCTACAACAAATTTAGAATCTGAAAATGTTCTGCAATCAGTGAGTCTGCTTAAATTAAATAAATACAAAAAAGCCAGTCTTGCCAGACTAAATCAAATGATAAATGAAATACTGGTATAATCATTTTTGACTTTTTCTGTTGGTGCAACTCTCACTATTGCAGAGATTTTTCTTTCACCTCGCAGCTCATTCGAGTTATTGGGTCTAATTGCGGGTGCTCTGTATGCTTACTTAGTTTGTGGTATTTCCTGGTCTTTTGTTAGCCGAGGATATTTGGCTTAGTTAACTGTATACATCATCTCCTCCCTATTTTGTGTAAACTTTAAGTAATCTATACCC